TTTTTTTTGAGATGGAGTTTCACTCTTGTCACCCAGGCTGGGGTGCAGAGGCGCTATCTTGGCTCGCTGCAACTTCCACCTCCCAGGTTCAAATGATTCTCCTGCCTCAGCCTCCGGAGTAGCTGAGCTTATAGGCACCTTGCCACCCGGATAATTTTTGTATTTTTAGTAGAGACAGGGTTTCACCATTTTGGCCAGGCTGGTCTCAGACTACTGCCTCGGCCTCCCAAAGTGCTGGGATTACAGGCTTGAGCCACCATATTCAGCCTTACCTTTTTTCTTTTCTCTTTTCTTTTCCTTTCTTTTTAATAGAGACAAGTTCTTTCTCTGTCGCACAGGCTGGAATGCAGTGCCATAATCATGGCTTACTGCAACCTCAAATTCCTGGGCTAAAGCAGTCTTCCCACCTGGATTACGGGCGTGAACCACCTCACCCAGCCTGTGCCTTTTCTCTGTTTAGATGCACAAGTACTTACCATTGTGTTACAGTTGCTTTCAGTATTCAGTACAGTAACATGCTCTATAGGTTTGTAGTCTAGGCGCAATAGAGTATACTCTATAACCATGGTGTGTAGTAGGCTATACCATCTGTGTTTGTGTAAGTACATTCTTTGATGTTCACATGGTGATAAAATTGCCTGACAAGAGTTAGAACATGTCCCTGTTGTTAAGCAGTGCATGACTGTATTTTTCAGTGCTTAGAACCCAGCATGTGTTTCATAAGTGTTAGTTATTATTGTTATTATTACTGTTGTTACTGCTTCTGCTACTATGTATTTTCCAAGTCATCAAGAAGTAAATGACGGTAAGCTGAGCATAGTGGCTCATAAGTAATCCCAGAGACTGGAGAGGCTGAAGTGGGAGGATTGCTTGAGGTCAGGTATTTGAGACGAGCCTGGGCAATATAGTGAGACCCTGTCTCTAAAAAAAGAAAAGAAATAAGGAAGCTGTTTTGAATGTAAACAGTTACAGAAAGTGAATTCATTTATATTTTATTGGCTTCACTGAATTATTGAAGTAATTTGTACAGAGTGAACTTTTTTCCTATATTTTATGGCCGGCCGTGGTGGCTCCCATCTGTAATCCCAGCACTTTGGGAGGCCAAGGCAGGAGGATCACCTGAGGTTGGGAGTTCGAGACCACCCTGACCAACATGGAAAAACTCCGTTTCTGCTAAAAATACAAAAGTAGCCCAGCATGGTGGCGCATGCCTGTAATCCTAGCTACTTGGGAGGCTTAGGCAGGAGAATCGCTTGAACCTTTGAGGCGGAGGTTGCCATGAGCCAAGATTGAGCCATTGCACTCCAGCCTGAGCAACAAGAGTGAATATCTTAAAAAAAAAAAAAAAAATTTATTGCAAGGCTGAGGTGGAAGGATCATTTGAGCCTAGGAGCTTGAAACCTGCCTCTGCAACATAGCAAGACTGTCTCTACAAAAAAATACAAAAATTAGCCGGGTGTGATGGTGTACACCTATAGTCCCAGCTGTTTGGGAGGCCAAAGTCGGAGGATTGCTTGAGCCTGGAAAATAGAAGCTGCAGTGAGCTGTGATCACACCACTGCCATCCAGCCTGGGTGACACAACGAAACTCTGTCTCAAAAACAAATTTTAATACCTAGTATTACCTAAAGCTTTATCTGATAATTTTAAAATGAAATCCCGAACTAGTTGTTTATTCCTAGGAAATTCTTTCATTCCCTATTTCCTTCTCAGTCTCCATCTTTCTTCCCTCCTCTTCTCTGGATTATGGCAAGAGGTCCACATGGTTGGACCTTGCTTCCCCACTCCAGAGAACTGTTCTTCCTTCGTAACAAGATGTTGTTAGTTGTGGCACCCACTCTGGAGAAAATGTAAATGCCATAATTGATTTGGTCACAACTGTGCAAAGTGAAGTTTACTACTTTATCAACTTCATTTAAAAAGAACTGTCAGCTGGGCGCAGTGGCTCATGCCTGTAATCCCAGCACTTTGGGAGGCTGAGGTGGGTGGATCACCTGAGGTCAGGAGTTCGAGACCAGCCTGACCAATATGGTGAAACCCCATCTTTAAAAAATAAATAAAATAAACCCAAATGACCATCAATGATAGACTGGACAGGGAAAATGTGGCACATATACACCGTGGAATATTATGCAGCCATAAAAAACGATGAGTTCGTGTCCTTTGTAGGGACATGGATGAACCTGGAAACCATCATTCT